CCAATTGTACGATTATTATGGGACATGTTATGCGAATCGCGCAATCAACCCAGTTTCACTACTTTCTGTTAGTCAATCGTGTGCAGGTCACAACTTTTAGGGCACCAACACAGTAGTTTTCTCGTTAAAAGTATTGTTTCCGTTAAAGTGCCTTAGAATTAAAAACTCCAATGAGGTACATAACATTACATACCGTCTCCATCTTCATCTAAATTGTCATGGAATGGACGTGATGGACAAGATGACGATTTGTGACATGTTTCTTACAAGTACGACATCTCCTCGGGCGTCTCGATGTTTTTCTTGGATGAGGAGTTGGTGCGTTTTGACCTTCTTCATTTGAAAAAAAGTCATTAACACCATCATATAGAGGGATTTCGCCCTGTTATGCCCGGTGACCCCGCACCGAGAGCACATCTGCTGACGCCGTACTCGACGTGATGATCCTTCTCCAGTGGAATATCGTTGAGTCTGTGGCCTACCTGCTTGTTTTGGATCATTTGGCGGAATTACCTTTATACACATAATTTCCGGGGGCAAGTGTCATTCATCCGAATGCGGGACGGGGTTAATGGAGCTTTGGTACATCCTTTCAACCGAGTAAGTTTTGTAATGGTCATTAACGAAATCCATTATATCTAACCCAACTTCCCTGTTATGTATCATAAATTTGCACATCATATTAGATTATAACTTTTTTATTTATTTATTTTTTTTTAAAGAAAAAAACGATAATGTTGTTTGGTAAACATTACGAATGGTCGTAGATGCATGTAAGCAAGGTAGTAGAACTGTTTCAAACACACAACACTCACATGTTCTTGCCTCTAAATCTACCATGTAGGATAGTGTTTCTTCCATAACCTTATAACGTTGCATGCTGAGTGTGGTAATGGATAGAGTATCACCTTTCTCGAACAAAGGATCCAGTCGCAATTGAGTCCACTACGTTAGCGGATGATTGCGACCCTCGGCGGATGCACGCCGAATAGCAAATCATTTCTCTATCATTGCCCGAACACACTCCAACAACGAGCAAACGGGTAACATCCTGGCCCATAGGAGTTTGTGTTCAAACTTTTGCAAGAATTGGATGTCATGAATCCATAGCGCCGTACAGGTGTAAAACACCTCACCCAAGCATTTACCGAAATTTCATTACTTAGCTTCTTAAATGCTTCGAGTTTTAGGCTTTGGATGGATGACATGTAAGGATAGAAGTTTTCACGCCGATAACAATATGTCGCCTTGTAAAATATGTCCAAGACAGATTTCCCAAAAGGCCTCATTTGTTTTGTGATGTGATAATCGCAAAATGAATGATGCGCCTCGGGGAACACTATTGGGACAGAATGTATGATAGACTCATGTCTATCCGATACGATGAGGAGGTTATCAGGACAACCATAGGCCGTTTTCAATTGAGTCAAAAACCAACTCAAAGTCTTACGTCACTCTAGATCACCAATGCCAATTGCGAGGGGAAAGATTTGGTGATTCCCGTCCAATGTGGCTGCAACAAACATAATGCCCTTGTATTTTTCCTTCAAGTGCGTACCATCTATCACAATCACCAGGACACCAGCTCGTTGGAAGCCCTCAATGCTAGCTCCTAGAGCAAAGAACAAGTTTTTGAATACCTCGCCATCTCATTGCAGTTGGAAAAATATACCTGGATTACGAACACGCAACATGTGCAAGTAACCGGGAAGCCGCCCCCATGATTCTTCATGACCTCCATAAACTTTTTCAAAAGTATGGTGTCTTGCTCGGAGGGACACATTGTAGCTGATCGACAAACCATGCTCCTCCCGCATTTGTTCAATAATTCTCCGTGTAGATACCGTCTGAGGATTTGTCTGGATAGTTGGTGCGTAAATATGAGCGAGAACCTTGGAATTAGCCGAACGGTGTCGATTGTGCGTCAAACTCCCTTCGGATGTATGCTCGAGTTTGAAAGTAGTGATTCTCCGTACATTTCGTCTTGCCCTTGCACATAACTTGTAAGAACACCCTTCGTGCTGACAAATATATAGTAACCTAGAAGTGCAGGATTTGGGTGTTCGCACTCAACTTTTTGTTGCAAGTGATACAGTTGGATGGCACAAATCAACTCTTCTTTCGAAAGGAAGACAGACCCCAAAGATAATTCTATATTGTTCGAGGGTAAGTGGATGGGTTGTCTATCTGATCCAGTTGTCGTGGCTGGCATAGGAAGGGACCACATTCGTGGCTCAACGTCGTATTGCCGAGTGCTACCTCGATTCATATATGCAAGACTTTCAACCTCAATAAGGTCGGTAATTAATCTTAGCTCTTCAATATGCTCGCAATACCACGCCCTGAAAAGCTTGAACATTTGCTTCTCATTGATCTCTTTGTCTTCGTGGCCTGAGTCATCATTGTGCGTGTTGGTTTGTCATCATTATTATCATCGTCACGAGAATAACCTGGTTGGTTCGAATAACCCGCGGTTTGATTATCAGCGCCACAAGGATATCAAATATGTGTAAATGAACTAGGGCCTGCTTGATGTGAATATGGAGCCTCGTGGGAAAATGCAGAACTACCAACACCAAAAGAACTAGGAAATACACCTTGGGACGCCATAATTTGCGTCAAGCTTTGTTGCGTCGTCCTTGGAATCCCTACATTTACTCGTTTCTCCAACTCCACGTAAATGTTGGGATTTTTTTGTTCTTCAATCAGCTCTAAGATATCCTCACTGGATTCGATTTTCATCTTCACAACTCTTTCCCTTCCATCAAATACTGCCCACAATATGTACTCAAAATTACAAGGATCCGCCTTCAATAATACTTGAACACGAGAAACTACTTCAGAATACATTTGTCGGTCGTAATTTATTCTCATCAGCTCTGCCACTCCACCAAGATATGAACCATCGGAAAACGTACCACCATATCTCACACATACTTTAACACGGTTGCTAGCCATTCAAATAAGTGAATAACAAAAGGAATTAAAACGAAAGATACAGAAAAATGCAGTAGATGAATGGTGCAAACGTTAAATTGTTAGAGATCACTGTTTTTTGCATGCATGATAAATGCACAGACAAAATCCTCACATGTGAAAAAGCAGTCAATTAATGAGGTGCGTAACTTATGCGACTGATATGCGATCAAATTCCGAATAGTCGTAAAATTGTCATGTCGATATTGCCCTGCGAAAAAATGGCGCATAATCGTCAAATAAATTATGCTTTATTCGATTTGGTTATGCGATTCTTCAATATGCAAGCGAAAAAATGTCGCATAATTGTCAATTATCCGGCGGATATATGCGAAAGTTTTTCGCATATTAGTAAATTATGCGATTGACTTGGATATGCAATAACAGAAAATGCGAATTCAACAAATTGTGCAAATTATATGCGAAATATTTTCGCATAGTCATATATTTGCAAGGTCGATATAGCCCTGCGAAAAGAAGGCGCATAATCATCGTAAATTATGGTGTATTCGATTTGTATATGCGATTCTTAAAACTGCATAAGATGTTCACATATTTGTAAATTATGCGTTTGATGTGGATATGCGATTAAAAAAATGCGAAATGTTTTCGCATAGTCATAAATTATGCGGCCGGTTGGATATGCGTTGGTTCATTTGGACATGCGAGTGTAATATCTCATAGCATTTCGTGAATTTTGGGGTGTAAAAGAAGTTATTTGACATGGTGGTATGTAAAAGAAAGAATAGTTATAAAACAGGGTAAAAAAAGATTTTGACCCTTGTAAAATTATGAGGGGAAAGGAAAAACCGAGAAAGAAAAGATCTGCTTTTAATTTGTTTTGTTAAAAAAAAAGAAGATAATTTATTTGTTTTGTTTAAAAAAAAAAAGAAGACAATTTATTTACATTCTTCAGTCTTAGTAAGCCTTCTCCGGATTTACCCGGTGTAAGATATCACATTGTTCGAGGAACCCTAGGCCGGAATAAAGAATCGTCAACAAGGGCGTTCTTGTGCGTTGTGCAGTAACGGGATCAACCTTTTTCGGCTGTAAGAATATATATCCCTCCCTATATATTAATTCAAAACGTGTTGGGCCTAGATGGCAGATTCTCACGCTTCGGATGCTGACATGGCGAAAATCTATGCTTCGTGATGTTATTTTTATATTATTTTTGCTCTAGAGTTAGGTTTGGTATTAGACATAAATAACTATACTCATATATTCATTAACTCAACACTCATGTTGAACATGGGTATTAATACTAGTAGATGTTGATTTGTGAATGATTTTGATGTTCAGTTGATGTTTATCAATAATATATGTTTAGCCTAGATCACATGATGCAATAATATCAACTTATAATAAACTACAAATCAACTTAATATAAATATAAATAAGAAAAAGTTCCGAAATTTTCAATAAAAATACATTCTTTAAACAAAATTGAAATATTTTTAAATTTCTTTATGATAAAAAAAAATGGTAATAAAAATGTAAATTAGCCGTATTCTTTCAGTCGCTCAGTATGTGCATTCAGCCAACTCCAGCAAATGAGATGGACCATCGGGAGCCAACTTCACAATAATTGAAAGCATCAATAAAATAATTCCAATATGCACTTTTCTAGAACACTCACAGCAGATCCAAACATTTGCTTCTCCATACTAAACAACATAACAAACATGTCTAACTTCATCCCAAATACCAGCAGCTGCAAAATGCCTAGTGATTTTCCTAAATGGTAGTCAAGAATCGACGGCCCAAGCCCCCAACAAGCCATCACACCTAGTCTCGACGCCTTCACTCGGTCACTCCTAGTATCTACGACTATACACAAACTTGTGTATCAAAATTGTCTACCATCACGAAAGCGCAAGAAAATTTGCATCGTCTAGGTAATTATAACAGCACCAGATGTCTATTTCTATTTTACCTTTTTATTTATTCCACCTTCCGAAAAAAAAAAAAAAAAAATCATCCACATGATGGAAATCGGAACAGAAAATCAGAAATGCCGATATTTATGGTTTTGAGTACTCAAAAACAAGACCCTCAGCCACACTCCTCGCCCTTGCTTGCCCAAAAAGCTTACTTACTATAGCGAGTGCAAAATCTGTTGCAGTAGAAAGTCCCTTGCACGTGACCACTTTCCCGTCAATAACTACTCGGGCATCATTTACAGTGTTGTTAAGCATGCTAATGACCGAAGGATGAGCTGTGGCTCGTTTATCCTGTTTTAGTCACAGGAAATGTTTAAATGCAATAACCTACTTCAAAATGTAAAAACAGAACACTTAGGACTGATCACGAAAATCGGGACCATGAGGTTCGGCCTAATTATTGGCAAAGCCGACTTACTGTATTCCTGAATTTATTACACCCCAAATTTGTGAAATTTGAAATATGGAAGCTAACATCAAAATGGAAGCCTAGACCTCTAGGATCATATTGTAATTCATTATAAATATTGAGATGAAAGTACTACCTTTAGCAAACCTTGTCTGTGGAGGATTGTGGGTGAAGAACACATTGCACCCAGGATCCTCCCACCCAATTGTTGTTCTTTCAGTAACTTCTTTAGAATACGAGACTTGTGTAGCTTCTCAGAACCTAATTTTCCTCCCTTAAATGAACAAGAAAGGAATACTTTATTAGCGCGTATTAGGAGGTCTCTTAAAAGGAAACACAACTCAAAGAAACTCCAGAGGGTTTGTTTAGCACCTCAACTTCTCAAAGGGTCTTTTCTATTACTAGATTTTTTAAGGTAACAAACAGTTATTTATTGCATTAATATGAACCCCAATATGGCACTTTAAGGCCCCTCCATCACTATTTTCGCAATAATAAATTTCCCTAAATCATGGAGTATATACCCATAAATTTGGGAAGGAAGAATCTTAAAACAGATTTGGTCTAATGTACCATTAATGTAAATAATTCAAAATGAAAACTTAAAAATTTTGCAAGCCGCTCGACCAAGGAATATATAAAAACAAATCACGAGTGAAACACAGAATGCTCATATAAGGGAAAAACGAAGTTTTAAATTTTTTAGCCTTACCGGCAGGATGATTAGATCATAAACCAAATTAGCAGCATCGCTGATCATTGTGTCTGCAATAATTTTAGTGCCACTTGTCGCCAAAACCTGCAATGATTTTTCAACTGAGGCAATTGTGACATTTGCTTTTGCTCGTCTTAGAATATCCACAACAGTCACCACTTCAATTTCTTCGGACCCAGTGGCAACTGGAATGAGAACCTGTGGAGTTCAACAGAAAAAGTTTTGGAAATTATTCGGACATAGAGATGGGTTGGGCAAATGTAGAACTTCAAAATCCTCTCTAACCGGTAAGGTTGACAACATACAATACATACAATTCTGAACTTAAATACCTGAGGAGCGTGATCGAGGGACCACGAGACCTCATCAAATTCTTCTTTTCTAGAATTATCATCAGCAAGATTTAGTAGCTGTGCAGACGAGATGAGCAAAGTGAGCAAACTGTTACCTCCAGCTGGTTAAGCAAAAGTTAGCAACTAATACAAGCAACCCAATCCGAGAAAGAGTTATCAGCTTTGAATGATCTCTCTTTTAAACTTCTCACTTGCTGATTGAACAGAAAATATATCAATCATTAAAAAATATTAGTTCAGTATTTATTTGGCATAAAGGAAATGTTTAACTGGGACAAATGTGATTCAATTGTTTATAACCAAAACTAATTCTTGTTTTCTTACCATTGAGACACATACTTCTTTAGCCACTGACTCACCCAAGAGTTGTTCCACCAATGATACAGAAAACTGAAAACAAGTTCCGGGTCCTCGGCTAGTTGTTAGCTCGCCTGACACTTGTAAATTTGATTTGACTGCCCAAAAGGTCGGAAGCTTATCCATAAATGCAGGGTGACAAGTCACCTAACAGAACAAAATAAGAGAAAATTAGTGAGCCACCATATGCAGAGAGTTGATTTCTCCTTTTTCATTCTTAGTAATTGCAAGAAACTCCTGTAGTAAATATCAAACATGTTGAAATTTACCTTTTTCCTCCTAAGTAGTCCCCAAGGCAAAAGTGTAACAGCAGGGGCAGCACAAATGGCTGCATAAGGCCTCTGAGCCTCCGCATGTTTTTTCGTGATGTCTTGCAAAATTTGGCAGTCCCTCAAACGTGTAGAGCCCGGCATCCCTCCCTAGTCAGATACAATGATTGCCGAGTCACTAGTATAAATTGAAATAACAAGCAACCCTTGAAGTCTGTATTTCATTTTCTTGCTATTTTTCTTTATGAAAGAACGCATCAAAGATGTAATATGTCAAAATTACATTTACCTGTTACTCTGTCGAGGTTCATGTGTTTTACATGTTACATGCCTAGGCTATGCTACCGCAGCAATAATATCGTAAGATAATTGAATTCGTTTCCTAATTAGGCTAACTTAATGGTAGCAACTGTAGTTATCCCTCAAAACTACACCCCTGATTGAGAGAAACAAACTGTGAAAGCCTTACAGTCCACAACAACCAAATGTCCAAATTTACATGAATCTTCCATCTAAAATTCCAGCGTCTAATTTTGGCACCCAAGAAGTCAAATGAAGCATAGACAAATGACCTTCACGTGTGCGCGTACGCGCCCACACACACACACACACTCAAAATAACAATAACAATATCAACAATAACAGATGATAAAATCAAAAATAAGGTTAAACCGGAGCTTCAAAGCAACTGACCGGAAGGGCAATGAGATCAAAAGTTTGATCACAACAAGAAGAGATAGTTTCATCGGCCACCAGCCTCGTGCCACTGGATGCCTCAACCTCCAATTTCCCCTCAACTGAAGCAACTGTCACATTTGCACCTGCTCTTCTTAAAACATCAATCATTATCACTGCCTCCATTTCTTCGGTCCCGAACCCAATTGGCACCAGAATCTGTATAGAACAGTCACACTAAGGCCGGTTTCTACATTATAAAAGCTACCAGTAAACAACTAAACTTGAACCTCCTTATTAGAGAAAATTTACTCTACTACTCAATACGCTCCAGCACAAAATTCAAAATCTTCGGAAATTTAGGAAGGGGGAGAACAAATTCCAAACGTACAAATTCACTTAAAAAACCCCACCAAAACAAAAGTTGAACTGGAAATTGGGACCTTTTTCTGAGGAACTGGAGATGAAGGATTTGGAGTGGGATTGAGAGGTGACGAATCTTTGACGCGCTTTGGGGAGCGTTGTTTGGTAGCTGCCATCTTCTGTGCCGTAGAGCTTTGAGTAGCTGCCCGTGTTGAGAAATTTGAGTACAAAACGGTAGAAATGACCGGCGGGGCTCTGTTGGCAGGCACCGGAAACACAGTCGGGACAGACAGCATCCTCATCCTCCTTTCTCTATCTCTTCACCAAATACTTCATAGTGGATTGACCGCAAATAATTAGGTGTGCTAGGTGTGCCAGGGTAGAGGGTGAACACATGTTAAAAAAAAAAAGGTGAGTAGCCTTAAATTGCAATTCTTGTTCAATTTCCAGTCCCACGCGCAGAGAGAGAAGGGGAGAAAAAAGGCGGTAAAAAATTGCACTCCCTTCCGCTAAAATTGGGCTCATTTTTCAAGGCAAAAAAACTTCTTCACTCCAGTTCTTCTCTTCTGAAGGCAATTGTCGATTTTTTCTTCTGCAAAACTGAATTTTCCGATGGTGATATTAGAAGATCTAGACGCAGCCCCTGAGTTTTGTAATCATGAAAATGAACATGTTCATTTTGATCTGGAGAATGAACATGTTCATTTTGGAGATGGAAGTGTAGTTGGGTCTTCCAATCTGGAAAAAAGTGTAGTTGGGTCTTACAATCTGGAAACAATTTCTTTATTTGAGGATGAACATGTTCATTTTAATGAAACCGCTGTAATATCGATTGATGAAGACGATGAACATGTTGATTTTGGAGATGGAAGTGTAGTTGGGTCTTCCAATCTGGAAAAACGTGTAGTTGGGTCTTGCAATCCGAAACAATTTCATTATTTGAGGATGAACATGTTCATTTTAATGAAACCGCTGTAATATCGATTGATGAAGACGATGAACATGTTGATTGTAATGAAACCCCGGTAATATCCATTGATGAAGCCAATAATTCTGTGGTTGAAACGGGTGAAGGCGCAGGTAATTCAGAAAACATGTTCATTCTACAATCACATATGTTCATTTCATAATGCAAGATACTCATATAAACATGTTCATTTTTGTATATAAACATGTTCATTTCATTTTGTAGAAAAAGTTCATTTTGGTTTTTAACATGTTCATTTCATTTTGTTTTTACATATGTTCATTTTCTATATGCGTATGTTCATTTAGTTATTGAACATGTTCATATATTAAATAGGTGTTTATTCTTTGTTTTGGAAAAGCTCGATATAGAATGTATACATGTTCATTTATTAACTCAACATATTCATTTCCTAACGGAACATGTTCATATTTTTGTAGAGATCGATGATGAAAAATTGCTTGGGATGAAATTTAATTCCTTGGAAGATGCTTATGAATTCTACAATTCATATGCGAAGAGACATGGTTTTGGAGTTAGAAAATTCAGGTGAAGAAAGAAGAAAGATGATATTGTATATCGCAAATAATTTTGTTGCAATAAGCAAGGGTTTAAAAGCAAAGTGGGCAAAGAGAGGAGTTATACAAAATTAGAAACGCGGGTTGGTTGCAAGGCAATGATTCAGCTTCTTTTTTATGGTGCTAATTGGACAGTGGAGCAAGAAGAGGATCAACACAACCATGAGTTAGTTCCATGCAATCAAGCCCGCTATTTTCGCTCTCACAGGGATATGCCTTCGAATGATGTAGCATATTTGTCACAATTAAAAGCTAGTGGAGTTGGTGTTACCGCTGTTTATAGAGTTCTTTCGGATCAAGCTCGTGGTGTTCAAAATATGCCATATACAATAATTGATGCCCGTAACCACGTTGCAAAGGTTGAACGGAGAATTTGGGAAGGCGGTGATGCAAATGGCCTACTTAATATATTGAAAGAAAGACAGGCTCGGGAAGATGGATTTTATTTTAATTATGATCTGAATAAGGAAACAACATCATTGTGTTCCATTTTTTGGAGGGATTCTCGCATGAGGAAGGATTATGAGGTGTTTGGTGATTTAGTTGTATTTGATACTACTCATAGGACAGTTAAGTACAATCTTGCATGTGCTCCATTTACAGGGATGAACCATCACAAGAGAAACATTATGTTTGGTGTTGGTTTTTTGCTTCATGAGGACAAAGATTCATTTCTGTGGTTGTTGGATGAATTTCTGAAGTCAATGGGTGGGAAGCAGCCCGCCACAATAATGACCGATGAAGATGCAGCCATGGCAGCTGCAATTCCATTGGTGTTAACGCAATCCCGACATCGCTTATGCACCTGGCATATTGACGAGAATTCAAAAAAGCACATTCAGTATCTTCGGATAATGCCCGGTTTCATCAATCTTTTTCATTTGGTTTTGAGATCAACGGACACAATACCAGAATTCGATTTTTATTGGAAAAAGTGAGTTATTCAATTTATATTTGAACCTATTCATTCTACAATTAAACATGTTCATTTGCGCTGTAACTTGTTCATGATATTTTGTAGATAAAATTAATTTCGTATATCAACATGTTCATTTATTTATTAAACATGTTCAAATCATACTGAAACATCGCCATACATTAAATAGGTGCTTATTCTTTGTGTTTTGGAAAAGTTCAAAGAACATGTCAAATAGAATGTAGACATGTTTATTAAACAACTGAACATGTTCATTTATTACTAAATCATATTCATATCATACTGTAACATGTTCATGATTTTATTTTTGTAGAAAAAGTTCATTTTGTTTTAAACATATTCCCTGGTATACAAAAATATTCATTTATTTTTAAACATGTTCACTTTGTATAAAAACATATTTATTTAGTTATTAAACATGGTCATTTTGTATATGAACATATTCCTTAGGTACAAGAACATGTTCATTGTTTATACGAACATGTTCAGAACAATTACACATATTCATTTTATACTGTAACATTGTTCTTGATACTTCAGGATGTGTGATACATACAATTGCGCTGATGATAAATGGTTGAAGCGGTTGTATTCAAATCGTCACAAATGGTGTCCAGCCTTAAATAAAACTCATTTCTCTGGTGGTATATTGTCATCCCAAAGGAGTGAATCAACAAACAACTCAATATCGGCGAAACTTCCCAAGACTGCTCGATTGTGTGGCTTTTATTCTCATTTTGTCAAAGTTCTTGAGGAGTGGAGAGAGAAGGAGAATAAAGATGACTTTCGGTGCAACAATGGCCGTGTGGAATGTCAATTCCCTGATAATTCTCTACTACTTATGTTCGTGAGTTGTACACAATTGAAGCATATATTCATTTTGAGCAACTGTATATAGCTGCAATTTCGTGCAAGATGAAAGTCGTTGGAGCACCACAAAGCATTGGAATTGGAAATAATGGGAATGTTGTTTTATGCTATGTTCAAAGGGCAAATGTGGATGTGTTCAAGCACCAAGTAAATTTCAACTCAACTTCTCATGAGGTTAGGTGTTCATGCGATTTGTTTTCGGAGGTTGGTTTCCTTTGCTGCCACTGTCTTAGGGTGTACATCGTTTTTAATGTCGAAAGAGTTCCGGATATGTATGTACATCCAAGGTGGCGTCGGAATGCCAATTTGAACTGTCGGTTAGACTTGGAGGGAACCCAATATTCTGCGGGCTACCATGTGCCAGGTACATATTCATTATACAGTGGCACATGTTCATTTAGTATTGATACATGTTCATGACATACTGAAACATGTGCATGATATTCATTATACAATAGAACATGTTCATTTAGTACTCACAACATGTTCATTACTCAATCAAATATGTTCATTTCAGGTGCATGCCTTTGGAGATCCGACAATATATGCCAGTTTCTGAAGATTGTTTCATCAAGTGAAATGAATCAAAATGCCAAAGATATTGTTGATGAATGTTTGAGATCCATGTCTGATCGGATAGAGTCTCATTTTTCTTCATTAGCTACAGTTGAACCGTCTTGTACAGCGAAATCTTCTGCCGTGAATGTTAACGATCCAGAGAAATTGAGGCCTAGAGGAGAACGAAACATTCGACGGAAAAATACTGTAGAGAAAATTTCAAGATAATTAAAGGGGAAGCACAAGAAACAAGCGTCATTGAGGAATAGAAACACCATTTTTAAACGGGTCTTTGCTACAAACCCTGAATTTGTTCGACGGTTTGTGCATCCCTTTCCTCCTAACCAAGATTCTCAACATGATCCTAGAGGTTCTGGATACAATCCTCCGGACATGAACATGGCCTCTCAAAATGAACATACCTTTTGTTTTCTATGAACATGTTTTGTTTGCATATGAACATGTGGCTTTTAAAGATGCACATGTTTATTAACCCGATGAATATGTTGATTTTGCATATGCTGTATGTTGATTTTGTAAGTAATGTGTTTTTTTAACTTGATGCATTAGTTTATTTATAAAATAAACATTTCAAATTATAAGATGAATATGTTAGGTTATGAGATGATTATATTTATTAGCGCTATGAATATGTTGATATTCTATAATGGAATATGTTAATTAACATGAAGAATATGGTTATTTTTAAAATGAACATGTCAACTTATAAGATGAATATGTTAGGTTTTAAAATGAACATGTCATTTTCTAAGATGAATATGCTACGTTTTAAAATGAACATGTCAAATTATAAGATAAATATGTTACGTTATGAGATGAATAAGTTAATTAGCGCGATAAATATGTTGAATTTGTATAAAGTAATGTGTTTCTTAACATGATGAATATGTTTATTTGTAAAATAAACATTTCAACTCGACTCTACTAGAATTTGACTCGATTATACTAAGTTTGACTCGACTATACTAAGTTTGAATCGACTATACTAGAATTTGAATCGACTATACTAGAGTTTGAATCGATGATACTAGAATTTGAATCGATTATACGAGAATTGAATTGACCATATTACAATTTGTATCGATTATACTATAACTGAATAAATCATGCTAGAATTTACTCGATTATACTAGAATTTACTCGATTATACTAAGTTTGACTCGATTATACTAAGTTTGACTCAGTTATACTTTGTAAAATGAATACGTTATCTTGGTAAAATGAATATGTTGCTTTGTAAAATGAATACGTTGGTTTGTAAAATGAACATGTTCCTTTGTAAAATGAATACGTTTCTTTGTAAATGAATACGTTTGTAAATTTGACTCAATTATACTAGAATTGACTCGGTCATACTAGAAATGACCAGAA